AGGATAGCATCGGCGAAGCACAAGCAGGTTAGTTGTTCTTTCTCCGACGGCGGGCTTGAAAAAGTTTACTTTCCATCGACACTTTCAAGGCGCAAGGGGAGGATTTGCTTATGTGTGGCGCGGGGACTGCTGCCAGCAGTGCCAGTCAATGATTCAAAGGCCGAATCTTTTTTCTTTAAAAATATGGAACCACAAGAGTCTAAATTCTCTAGTGAGTCACAGATAATATCGATGGCCATCAGACACAACAGCTCGTTTTGGGCAGAGACAGCCTGTTTCAAGCTCTTAACCAGATCTTTCTTTGTTTCTCACGTTCTTCACCTGCAACTGCTTCATACAATTTTCAACTTCCAAGAGACAATAAATAAATATTTCAGAGAATAAACAATGTGGTATGCCCAATGGTGGTGTTGTAGTACTCGTTTGAGATTTAGGGTGTCATCAAATACTACATGGTGAGTTGCTTTCTTTTGTTCTTATTTTGCTCGGTTTAAATGGTTGAAAATGTTTTGGGTTATATTAGTCCTAAAATCCGATTAACACTTTTATTAATTACTTCTGGTGGAAACTAGAATCTTGAATCAAATGTGCTGAATCCTGAAGGAATCTGCTTAATAGACGGGAGAAGAATATGTCAAAAGTGGGTTCTTATATCTTTGCTCTTTTGTTCTCGTTTTGAATTTAGCATCATGAAATATGGTGCTCCTCAGATCGGGATTTATCCTTTGATTGGTTATTCTCTTACTTGCTGCTGATTTGCATCTTGTTTTTTCTTTGGTTTTGACTCATATTAGATGCAGAAGAGCAAAACATAAGCCTAATCTTTATATGATTTATGCATAACATTTATTTCTTTGTCCTAAGCTTTTAGTCTACCGGTTCTTATGATCTTATCCAAGTTGGTATTTCAATCCTGAAGATTTTGATTGGTCACATTTTTCACTACGAACAGATTACGTAGTGAAGACAGGAATCGATACTAGAAGTAATTCTTGTCAAGATTTATAGTTGACACAAGACCATCCTCTGAAATTGTCATGGAAGATTCCATTTTCTCACCAGGAATGTATTTGGATTACATGGATGAATTGTTGTAGATGGATGTTGGTTGGAGACAAGTCCAACTGAGGGGTCTGATTTCCTTAATCCTAACGTTTTCTTTGATCATGGATACGTGTGGCCATCTTCGGACTCTATTGCTGGTGATTTTGGTGGTAGCCTCATTCAAGGAGAGAGTGAAATATCATTGTTGCCTGGAAATTCACAGATGAATAAAACTCATTCTCAAGGAACTCATTTTAGTCACAACATAGTTGATGATGTTGAGCCAACTCGTAATCTAAATGGTGATTTTATAACCGAGGCTTTTGAGCTGAGTAGAAGATGGTGGATCGGACCAAGAACTAATCAAGGTCCTTCAACCTCTGTCATGCAGAGGTTAATTGGAGCACTTAATCATATAAAAGATGTTGCACAAGAAAAAGACGTCCTTGTACAACTATGGCTACCTGTAAATAAAGGAGGTAAATGTGTTTTGACGACAAGTGAACACCCATTTTCACTTGATCCCAACAGCCAAAGGCTTGCAAGTTATAGGAACATCTCTGTCAGATATCAGTTCTCAGCCGAGGAAGATTCTAAGGACATAGCAGGACTGCCTGGTCGTGTTTTCTTGAGTAAGATCCCTGAGTGGACTCCTGATGTCCGGTTCTTCAGAAGTGATGAATACCCTAGAGTCGATCATGCTCAACAACATGATGTCCGTGGAACCTTTGCCCTTCCTGTATTTGAACAAGATAGTAGGACTTGCTTGGGTGTTATTGAAGTTGTGATGACGACTGAGAAAATCAAGATTCGGCCAGAGCTGGAAACCGTTTGCAAAGCATTTGAGGTAAATCCAGATTAACTTTGTGTTTATAGTTGCATTTTGGAGCATTCAGTTCAAATCCTGATACTACTACTTCGTCCTGTTTTTCTTCATAAGCAGGCTGTCAATCTTAGGAGTTCTATAGCTTCCACCACTGAAAACATAAAGGTAAATTTTCTCACAGTTTTGGAATGAGCTAAATTGTTAAATTCTCAACTTGTTCTTGCATTTAAGGGTTAGTCTCACACTTTATCAGGCATGTGATCGTTCCTACCAAGCGGCTCTACCGGAGATAAAAGAAGTTTTGAGGTGTGCTTGTGAGTCCCACCGATTACCTCTGGCTCAGACTTGGGTTTCTTGTATGCAGCAAGGTAAAGAGGGTTGTCGGCATTCCATCGAGAACTACGTTCATTGCGTGTCTACCATGGATGATGCTTGCTATATTGTTGAGCCTGATATCTGGGGTTTTCATGAGGCTTGCTCCGAGCATCACTTGTTAAAAGGTCAGGGTGTAGCTGGGAGAGCATTTATGACTAACCAGCCATGCTTCTCAACTGACATAACCTCCTTTAAGAAGACTGAATATCCTCTAGCGCACCATGCAAGGATTTTTAAATTGCATGCTGCTGTTGCCATACGTTTGCGATGCATTCACACTGGTAAAGCAGACTTTGTCTTGGAGTTCTTTTTACCTGCAGACTGCAGAGATCCTGAAGGGAAAAAGGAGATGATTAATTCGTTATCCAGGGTTATACAACAAGTATGCCGTAGCCTACGAGTTGTCTCAAATAAGGAGCTAGAGGAAGAAACAGAGTTGGCAGTTAGTGAAGTTATAGCCCCTTCGGAGGGCATGCTTAGTAGAGAAGAGTTATCAGAAGAGCAGTGCACCCATCATTCAGAAAAGTATTCTAGAGAAAATCCGTCTTGGACTGCGGGTCTCACTGATGTTAAACAAAGCAGTAGTACTAGCACTAGCACCGCGACGGTACTCAGGAAAGAAAGGGCAAGGGTGGTGACAGATAAAAAATTATCTAAGGTGAAGAGGCATCAACAACATATTAGCCCAAGTGTTGGATGTGGAGAATCTACCGTTAATGAGATCAGCTTTTCGAGTGTGGCTAAGAGAAAAACAGGAGAGAAGAGGCGTAGCAAGGCAGAAAAGACAGTCACTTTGCAAGTTCTCCGCCAATATTTTGCTGGAAGTCTAAAAGAGGCATCAAAAAGTCTTGGTGGTAAGTATCAGTGGATGTTTCGGGTTTAGCGTAAGCTTGGTAGATAAACAGCCTAACCGTTTCGTGCTTAAAAGAAGTTACTGATGAAAAATGGAGACAGAAAAAAGGTTAAGGCTTAAATCTGCATGTCACCATGTTTGTTGCTATTTTCTTTCTGTTTGTTTCGTAAAGTATAGATGTTATATAGCATGGCATGATATACTGATGAGAATAAATGTAAACTGTTGGCTGTATTTCTCTACAATTTGATGTCATTTCCTGTGTTCTTTCAATATTTTTCAGTGTGCCCCACAACCTTAAAAAGGAATCTGCAGGCAACATGGAATAAAACGCTGGCCATCTCGAACTATCAAGAAAGTTGGACACAACTTGCAGAAACTCCAACACTACATTGATTCAGTACAAGGTGCCTCTGGTGCTTTTCATATTAGTGCCTTGTACCCAAACTTCCCAGAGACGGCCTCTCCAAGATCATCAGGAAAGAGTAGATTTTCGGCCTCAGACTCGGTGATGAATGGCAAGCCAAAGCAAACAACCTACAGCCCGAGGGTGGTAATTTCGTTTCCCATGCTGCTACTTCAAATTCACCTTCCGCGTCATGTAGTCAGAGTTCCGATTCAGGTCATAGTTGTTCTATCATTACGCGTCAACTTTCAAAATTAAACATGTCTGGTAATGAAGGTCTTATAATAGGAGAGAACTCTGGGGATGATGAGCTGAAAAGGATTACAAGTGAACCCGAGCTGCACGCCTCAATTCAAGGACTATGCTTTAGATATCTTAAGGAACAGCTTGTCCCCGACAGTATTCACCCCATAATTACAAAGAATACTAATCCAATTGCTCAGGATTTGGATGCTCAAAGGGTAAAGATCACCTATGGAGATGTGAAGATACGTTTCCGCATGCAAAGTAAATGGCGATTTAAAGATTTAGTGCATGAAATTGCAAGACGGTTTAATATGGATGATATAACTGGATTTGATCTCAAGTACTTGGATGATGATTCTGAGTGGATCTTATTAACATGTGATGCTGATTTGGAGGAGTGTATTGATGTAAGTGGATGGTCTGAGGGCAACACAATTCAACTCTTATTACAAGTTTCTCATCGTCATTTGGACCAGTCTTCAGGCAACACTGCTCCTTCTTGATCTGAAGCACCACCGATATGATTCGGATTCGATTCTAATAGAGAAAAACAATGTTTTCAAGAGCAGAAATCTCAATTGCTGAACGCATTGATGGAGGAAAAACTCATTTCTGACTTCCTTTGCATATAGCACTAGCAGAAGTAAAATAAAGGTAGCAAAAGAGAAACTTTCCAGGAAATACTTGTAATAGGATGGGGGGAAGTGAAGTTGATGACTATGTTTTGCATGCTCTGGATGGTTTTGCCCATGTAATATATTACATCAAGACAAGAGAAGATATCTCCAAAGGTAGCTATTAGAACAGTGAATGAACGAGTCTTTTTCTACCCTCTCACATGTACGATTTTCACAATGCATGCTATTGTTCCTGCGTTTACCAAGAACAATACAAGACAACTTTTATATGATGAATGATGACGAAAACTATGATTTTATATTTCAAGATATTACTTTCTTTGTGCACGTACATGAAAAACATTGCTGATTAAATAAGATTGATATAATGTTTATCTTAAAGACTAAACACCAGAGTGAAGCAGAGAAGGAGACCAAAATTAACACAGATCTAGAGTTAAACATGAGAACTGCATATATGCTCCCAACATATATATATATTGGTAAGAACAATATTCATGATTAGTACCACTACTAGCATTGGTTAACAATGTTCATGTTCTTCTTTGCTACCCAACAACTCAAAATATAACAAGATGTTAGTTTGCATATAAATCTATAACTTTTTAACCTATGAAAGAATTTGATATATCTTGTTGAGGAACTACTACTGCGCCTCAACGGACCTTCCAATGAAGAATGCGGTAAGTAAATTCATATACAGGCCAAGATCTAATATTGCAATTAGTGCACACATGCCACATCATTTGGAAAGTGTTGGCTAATTATCACAGTTGCAACGTTAAATCCGGGTGCTGGGGTGAACCAATTGGCACCCTAGAACTAGGTGAAACAGGTGCCAGGAATCTTACATTAAGATCAGGGGCAAATGGAAGTAAATCCTGCTCATTATTGGAATTCCGCAGAAGCCCGACATTAGTTGCCTCAGGAAACCCCATTTGAGACAAATAACCAACCCTAGACACACCAATAGAACCATTGAAACTAGAGTGCGGTAAAAGTCTTTGCTGAAACTGATGAGAAGGTGCAGAAGCCAAGTCCTTTTGAGAAGTTAGACCAATGACAGTTTCTGTGTCTTCTTTACCTTGCAAAGGAGATATACTTGCGGCAATGGAGTTTGAACCAGAAGTAGCTGCAGATAAAAATATGCCAGGAGGATTATCAGACAGAGAATTTGAAGATCTCTGCTTGTTGGCGAAGGAACATTGAGGCTGCCCTACCGTCCTGTTTTCTCCTACCCATCCAGGACCAAACTTGATCCCGGTAGGCAAAACACTTTCAATTTTTCTTGAAGCAATTTTCCAAACAACAGGTCCAAGATTTGCAGCAAAACGTGCCAAGCTTGTAGCATAACCATTTTCTGCTCTCAAACCAACCTGATAGACATTGAAAGGGGGAAAAAGGTCACCACTTACCATTGGATGAAAAAAATATAATTAACAAAAAATAAAATTGAGATAAAAAAGTAGCTGTCACTGCAGTGGCCACTGGCCATATCATATAAGGGATCAAGCAGTCTATTCTTCCGGTGATCTGGATAGTTTTCTATTCTCTATAAACACGAGTTGTCAGAATATTCAGAAACCCTTTTGGATAAACATATAATAGGATCAAATTATCAGGCACAAGCCTACCTATATTGCACTAGAACGTTTTCATGCAATTTATTATGACAGTTTATGGTGGAAAAGGTCAATCAGACATTCCATCTTATAACTCAATAATTAATCTATTAACTAATGCATTAATGACCATTATTTGCAGCATACACACCGGAACTAGTTGCTTCACTTCATCCAAGGTGGAAAAGATATGTTGCTCATGTCCAGAAGTCAACGAATGGTTGAAGGAGTCCCGCCTGTTCTCATCTACTGTGAAATGTTTCATCCCATACTTCATCACAGCCTTCACGACAGAAGCTACAAAATGAGAGAAAAAATAGCTCAATATGAATATAAAAAACATGCGGTAAATAACAATTCACATTCAAAAAAGTTAAGAATCAGTTAAAATAGCAAACCTGGAAATTCATTCTCCCATTCAGTTGAACAACTGGAATAATTTTCTTTGCTAGGAGAACCCCAGGAGGACCTGATTAATGTATCAGCAGGCCATAGCTTGCGGGAAGTAGGTTCTTTCCTCAAATTGTAAGTGTTTGAAAGGCTGGAAGCATCTCGACCAGCAGCAAGAGTTGCATTTGAGGGATGCTCAGAACCAACACGGTCAAAAGATGATCGCATCAATGACTTTTTGAGGCTCTTTCCAGGTGGCCTTCCTCTCCTCACAACTTTCGGTTGGGGTTCACCTTCATCACTATCTTGCCTCAAATCCCCGAAGTCCTTTTTAGCCAGCTCTTGTATTGACCGTGCCTAACCAACCACTCCAGATGTTTAAAATAACAGAAACCAGAGTATCATGACAAAGGAGTTAATACAACTAAGACCTAGACAAACCTGTCGAAAGTAAATTGTATCCGGTGCGTTATACTGCATTGCATTCGAGCATATTAGAAAAACATCCATCTGTATGAAAAAAACTCACATATTTCAATTCCAGTTCCAGAAACATCAGATATCGTGCCAGAAAAGCGTATGAAGGAAACTAAATCCCCCAAAACGAAGTTTTGTTACATGTTTGTAAAAACTAAAGACTATCCTCACCGGAAAAGTCCAGTGCATCCATACTGACTTGAAAATTATTTCATTAGGATTTTCATCTTCTCAGTTAAAAATCAACTCACAGCATATACAATTTTCTGCTAGGGAAGAGAACGATGTTAAGATCCCAAGCTAAACAAAACAAGTTCAGCAATCAAATTCACAAATCATGGGCATTTCCAATTGAATTCTATATCATATAAACATCGATATAAAAGGGCAAATAGAAATATGAAATATGCACAAAGAATACAGAGCAATACATGATTAGTGAAACAAATTTAATAGTAAATAACTCAGATAGGATATGCAGGGGCTGATAATTATTGTAATTGGTTTCTGATTGTGTATTTTGTCACAGACATTGTAGCAAAAGTTTGCTGTTAGTTGGAATAAAACTTACTTATCCAAAAGCCAAATTAAAGAATCTTGCAGGCTTAAGTGACTAAAATGCTATACCAGACAACTGGACTTAAAATGACGAACTAAAACATTATAGCCAACAACATTACTACTTAATCAGCATATTCAATTTTCTACAAAAAACACAAATCAACCAAATCCAGAAAAAAGAAACTTAAACACCATTAAAGGTAATACAGTCAAACAACTTGATCAGCCATCCCTCTCCAACCCGTCTAAGGGTAGACAGATAGATGAACATTGCATCTATATTAGCAAAGAGAAGGCTTGCAAAACAAACCTCAAATTGTTCCAAGGTAGTATAAGCTCCACCAACAAGTTTTTTCCTGACTGTCAAAAAGTCCATGGGGTGCGCAATAATGTCATGGTAATCAGGAAGCTGTATCGAGAACAATCCAACATTATCTCATTGACTGGGATTTCTCTTTCCAGTAATCTACATTGTGCAAGAACGAAAAAGAAAATGCACCTCTTCAGGATCCACTGGCTCTGAGAATACCCCGTAAGTGTCTTTCCTGTAAAAACAATCAAAATCCAATAAACATAGGATGGGGTAAGAAAAAGAAAAACCAAATGAACCAAAAAATTTAAAAATAAAAATAATACTTTTGAAGTCTGTCAAGAATGAACACCAACAACTTTTTGTCTGGCAAAGGAGTCGTGGGGCCAGACTCCACCGGTGACCCTGTCAACAAATAAACCATAAAATTAGTTTATTTACCAAAACCCAACACCTCTTTTTCTTTTTAAGAATCCCCAGAAATGCCTTTTTCATGAAAACCGAGATTGATTTATACCGTGAAGAGTGTCTGTCACTTTCGATGACTTTTCTTCCTGTAAATAAGATAAACTCTCGTATCAAACAAACATATATATATATATATATATATATATATATACACATGTATTTATTATTATTTACCAAATAAAATATATTTATTCATTATTTATAAAGATCCCAGAATGAAAATCTATTGGAAGAGATATTTGCCTTGATCACTGAATAATCGGTGTGGAAAGTTCCAGTAAAAACGCTACAATAATGCAAAGCAAGTGCCCAAAAAAAGGACTTCGAAGTATTATTAGTAAAGTAAAAGACAAAATGAAGCTTGTCAGAATGGTGGTCTGTGCATCTATTGTTTTGCTAAAAAATAAAGGTCGGATTAGATGCCAGACAACGAATCTATAAAATAATAATGGAAAAATCGTAAATCAGGAAAGAAAGGAAAACTGTGTTCAACCCTACTTGAAGTTCGAAGAAAATCAAAAAAGTTGAAACAATACCCAATAAAAAGAAGAAAGCACATTTCTTAAGTCAAACTCGTTCATTCATCTCCATTTCAATTTTCAATTATAAAAATCGGCGCAATTAAGTTCGAAACCCAAAAATATAAACACTAAAAATAAAATATCCAAAAAAATAGTTTGAAAATCATTTTTGTTTCTATTTCAAAAACAGCGGTTTCAAAATCCCGCGAAAATAAATATATATAAATGTTTTAGTGTATGATTAATCACCGTCCGATCAGATCCAGGCTTGACAGTGGTGAACTTGCGACGTCTGAGTGACGCGTCGGGTTCTTCATCATCTGCATTAGAATCAGATCCAGGGGAGGCCGAATTCTGCGCCAAAGGAATCGGATAATGTTGATGACTACGAGAAGAATTGAAGCCAATCAATAGTTTATGCTTCTTATGTTGACGGTCATCATCGTCGTCGTCTCCTCTGGAAACCGGGGAGCCACCGTTGAGATTGGGGTGGCGGCAAGAGGACCGGCAGGTCAAATTCCTGGAAGAATTAGGGTTAATGAGATTAGGGTTTTTTTGTTGCGGTTGCTGTGGCTCCTGCAGTTGTTGTTTGAGAGAGCGCTTTTGAAGTTCTAAGAGAGAGGGCCTTCCCTTCTTCTTCCTCTTCCTCGTTGTCTCCGCTGCAATCTCACCAACACCACCCATTGCTTTTTCTTTTTTATTTTTCCCTCTAAACAACCTTTGGTTCCTTACTTCGTTTATTATATTAGTTTTTAGGGTAAATTATATGTTTAGTATGTCAACTATCACTTTATTATGTTTTGGTCACTAACTGTTTTCTTTAATAATATTTAATGTCGCGTTTTGATTTCATTTTAGTAAGTTGTAATAAGGGCTGTAAACAAGCAAAATCGAGCTCGAGTATTATCGAGCTTAATTTGACTCAAAAACTCTAAAATAGAGCTCAACTCAATTCAAAAACTCACGAACCTAAAATTTTCAAGCTCAACTCGAACTCGAAAGCATGAATTGAAGCTCGAAAATGCTCGAAATAAAAAAAAAATCTTAAACTTAACTTAACATAGCTGAAGCTCAAACTCGAACCTAAACCTTAAGTACATAAAAATGCTATACGAGATTTTTAAAAAAATCAACACATAAATGTTAATATTATTAATATGTAATTCTTTTTAAAAAAATATTATTTAAAAATATTATTTTTTCTAATTGCTCGTAAACTTTTGAGTCGAACATCAAATAACCTGTTCCGATTTGTTAAGAACTTTAGTCAAATCCATTCGAATTGTGTATTTATCGAGCTTTAACTAAATTAATCTCGAATAACTCACGATATATTTTATTTCATTTAAAGTTAATTGTGACATTAATATTAATATGATTTAGAATAAAAAAATATTTGAATGACAAAAACAAAACAAAAGTGATAATCGTATATTAAACTTATAATTTTCCCTAGTGTTTATTGTTATTTTTAATAGGCCCATTCGGCGAACAAAGGGGTACAATACAAGATGCCAGCGTCACTAGTAAATAGTAATAAGCTGCAAGCCTATAAATATTAGTTTTACCTTTCAAATCAAAGTTTATGGTATAAATAATCGTAGAAACCGCCTGATAAACGATTTATAGTAAATCTTGACCATTAATTTTAAGTAATAAATGATGTATTGATTATCCAAAAAATAAATAAATAAATGATGTATTGATACCGCAATTTTATATACCGGCTCTGATTAAACTGTATTTCAACACTGATGTTCACTAATTCTTCAAATACTTCCAGCTCTGATTAAACATGTGGTCCTCCTCTCTCATCAGCTATAACATCCCCTCCCTGATTGCTTCTGCTACATCTTTAATTGCTTCCCTTATGCTTTTAAACTACCTCTTGAATATTTCATCTCTTGTCGCTTTGCGTTTTCTCCCTTTCGATGATGTTGCTGGCTGGGATGCTGCTTGTGAATCAACTTGGCTGGTATCATTCGTGTCATTATCTTCCATATTCACACCAACTACATCTTGCAAAGGAATACCATCAAATACTCCTCTGCCTATTGAGCTACCACCAAATTGACCCCCCTTTAGCTCCTCTCTTTTCACAATCTTTAGCAAAAAGCATCAACAATTTATCGTGTAATTAGCAATTCTTGTAGTGAAGACCTTTCTCAATTGGCATCCCAATGTTTTCATGCAATTCATTCACCATATTTTCATATGCCATTGTAGTGAAGACCTTATCAACCCTGTTTCCCAAACTCTGTTGGTGCAAGAGAGCATTGATGAGGACATCATCCATAGGCTGTGTCCACTACAAAACATCCCTTTTATTCACATTAAAATTCTAAGATTTACCAATTGTTCTTACATGCATTGTCAATAAGATCTTAGGAATGATAGCAATTGAAGGCATAATGCTCATCTAATTATAGGAAAGAATCACACACAACAGGTAGTTAAAAGGGATTAAGAATAGTTCTTCACTTTAAATGATTAACAGAATCAAAATAGAACACCGTCAAAAATAGCATCCAGAGGATGTGTATGAATTAACAAAAAAAACATGTCCCCTTTTAAAAGAAACTTAACTGCACCGTTATATATGGGTATTTGCTCAATGTGCATTCTGTATTTTAGCAATTAACGTTTTCGCTTATGAATTGCTTTCATCCTTTACGCCTTGCAGTAACCCCAAATAAAATAATAAGCAACCATTATAGTTTAATGGTAGAACTGGCACTCATGCAATATACATAACCCAAGTTGATCAAAGGTCGTTCACAACTCATTCCTCAGCCTATACTAATAAGCATTATCTATAAAAATAGTACAAAACACACTAGAGAAAATAAGTAAACATACACTAATAAAATATGAGTCACCTACTTTTTAAAAAGGAAGCAATTTTTTAAACTGTTATTGAATGAATTAATTAAATATTTAAACTCATATTAGGATGAACATGGATGAAAAAGATTCCCTTGTATGGATATGGGCCATCTTTTATTTCCATCTAGAAAAAAAGTGAGTCCCGGCTTCAGATTTTGAAGCAACAAGGCATGCAAAATACATAAATCAGATCAATTAATTATTTGTTTTAAAAAGAAAACAAAAGACTGGAAGGGTGAAAGAAAATGGCCTATTGTAATTTGTAACATGTGGTGCAACGAGAAGTGCATAAGGACATATACTTATCAACAGGCAAACTTTACCTGAAGTTCAGAGATCAAGTGTAAGCATCATGCGCCCTAGCTTTGTACCACAATTTAGAAGTCATAACTATCATTTGATGAATTAATTAGATATTTAAACTCATATTAGGATGAACATGGATGAAAAAGATTCCCTTGTATGGATATGGGGCCATCTTTTATTTCCATCTAGAAAAAAGTGAGCCCCAGCTTCAGCTTTTGGAGCAACAAGGCACACTAAATACATAAATCAGATCAAATAATTATTTGTTTTAAAAATAAAACAAAAGACTGGAAGGATGAAAGAACATGACCTATTGTAATTTGTAAAATGTGGTGCAATGAGAAGTGCATCAGGATATATACTTCTCAACAGGTAAACTTACCTGAAGTTCAGAGATCAAGTGTAAGCATCATGCGCCCTAGCTTTGCAACACAATTTAAAAGTCATAAATGTCATTTGATGAATTAATTTGTTACTTAAACTCATATCAGGATGAACATAGATGAAAACGATTCCCTTGAAGGGATATGGGGGCATCGTTTATTTCCATTTAGAAAAAAATGGTAAGCCATGGCTTCAGAATTTGAAGCAGCAAGGCACACTAAATGCACAAATCAGATCAAATAAATACTTTCTTTTGAAAAGAAAACAAAACACTAGAAGGGGAAATGTAAATGATCTATTGTAATTTGTAAAATGCAGTGCCACAAGAAATGCATCAGTACATATACTTCTCAACCGGTAAACTCACGCGCCCAAGCTTTGCACCACAATTAAAAGTCATAACAATTAAAAGCTTTTTCTCCCTCTTCCCACCACCAACAATTTAATGACAGATAATCAAAAGATTGCATTGCCGTTCGTACATGATGAGCCGAAAAATATAAATCGAAAGCACAAATCTATAATCATTAAGTGAAGGACTAACCAAATAAATGGTTAGCTAGTAAGAAGAGCACTTTGATAAACAGTGGTCACACATGCGCACTATCGAATCACTACACCGTAAATTCTTCTCTCGATATTTATTGTGGTAAAGAAGGACGAAACCGCTATTATAAACAAAAAAATGCACCCTTTAGCAAAAAGAGCAATGAACAGATGAGCAAATGGAATTTAAGAAACCGTAATTCCTATAAGAGTGTCGGGTAACAATAATAGCAACTAATAAAAGGAGAAAAGGAGATTCAGAGAATAAGAGCATGACGAAATCAAAGGATTAATGGAAAGAAAACCTGCTAAGGACTGGAGAGGGCGAGCTGATCTTCGTCTACATCGATTGGAAATTGAAGCCTGGCAGCTGCAGATAGTAGGGCAGAGGGCTATACGCTTTAATATATATTTCTCAAAGTGATACCTTTTCGGCTGAACTGGCGAAAGGAACGTCTTCGGGACACGCGTTACCCGTATTTTCGCTGAATTAGATGTCACGTGTGAAAGGCGCATCCCCAGGGACGCCGACTCGACTGCCACGAGTAGAAAGCGCATCCCCAGGAACGCGCCTTCCATTAAATGTCATAAATGCCCCCATCCATTTTCCCTAACTACCCCCTCCTCCCCTATATAAACCCCCTCAACTCTCCCTCATTCTTCACACCAAAATCATATTCTCCTCTCTTATATAATTCAAATTCTCTAACTATTTGAGTTTTAAATTTGTTATTAGTAGTAAGAAATTTATTTTTATGTTAGTATTTTTTAAAATAGTTATTATATTTTATATTAATATTTATGTAATATATTTTTTTTATTAAAATAATATTTATATAATTATTATTTATTTAGAATTATTAATTTTTGGTATGCTAATTTTATTGTTTTGTCTACAGTTATAATGGAAAACGAAATGCTGTTGCGATTGGATATTGATCATATCTCCAGACATTTTAGCGATATGGTAATATTTTTATAATTAATGTTAATATTTAAATTTATTTTTATTTTAAAGTTATTATGAATTTATATTAATTTTTATTTTTTATAATGTATATTATTTAGGATATTGATCGTATTTTAGAGACTTTTATTAAAAATTCACGTATACCGACACCGGAACGTATTTTGCCATATTTGGCTTCTGTCGGGTTCGGGTATATTGCAACAATTATTGGCGGTTGCAAACTCGAACCTGTCCTAATTTCTGCACTGATTGAGAGGTGGAGGCCCGAGACACACACTTTTCACCTTCCATGTGGAGAGGCAACAATTACATTGGAGGATGTCTCTATGCATCTGGGGCTTCCCGTCGAAGGAAATATGATGTGTGGTATGGCGGATGGTGATTGGCAGTCAATGTGCATTGATTATCTTGGAGCTGCTCTGCCAGAGTTTAATGGAGGTAGAATAGCTTTATCTTGGTTGAAAGCTAATTTTGAGGTTTTAAATGAAAATGCTTCAGAGGATCAAGCAAAGGCATGTGCTCGGGCATATATTCTACGAATAATTGGAGGAATATTGATGCACGACAAATCTCGCAACCAGGTGCATTATATGTGGTTGCGACATCTGATTGATTTTGATGAAGCTGGAAGATATAGTTGGGGCGCTGCAGTTTTGGCATTTCTCTTTAGAGAAATGTGTCGGGCGACGAATTATAAGAAAACTGCTATCGGTGGATGTCTTCTGCTTCTACAATCATGGGCGTGGTTCCGCATGCCTTTCTTATGCCCGATCGTGAATGAAAACGTATTCCCCTTATTGTTGAGGTAATTTTCGAACTAAATTTTGATTTAAATATTTTTAATTAAATAGGGTGATATTTAGTTTATATTATATTTCATAGGTGGTCGATGAAAAGAAAGGACCATAAAAGTATATCTACTGGGTTAGAGGAAATTCGTTTACTTATTGATACGAAAGCTGGGTCTGAGGTATGTTTTTAAATTTTTTTAATTATTAATATTTTAATTTAAAATGCTAGATATAATTAGAATATTTTATTTATTTAAATTGTATATTTATATTTCAGTTTCAGTGGATACCTTATGCGAGCGATGAAGTGAAAGCTTGCATCCCACCCCACCTTAGTGGGTCATTAGAGGTATGGATATCAGTTATACCTCTTATATGTTATGCTATTATTGAGTGGCATCCAGTTGATCGCGTGCTCCGTCAGTATGGTTGTACGCAATATATTCCTGGAGCACCTAGGAATTTAGGCGACGTGCATAACATAGATAAACGAGGAAAGAAAGATGTTAACTGGGTGGTAAGACATAGAGATTGGATTGCGCTTTGGGAGAATCGATATACACTATTGGCCCCTCGACAATATTACACTGAAACTGGTCATATGGTTACGGATAACTATATGGACTGGTTTAATGAAAATAGAAAGTCGTTTCTACTTTCGGCGGAAGCACGAGGGGTTAACATTCCTAGGTGCCGAGAAAGACGTCAACTGTCTCAATATCATCGTCCCCCGATGCGTGGACGGAGAGAATGCGCTACCGGTTCTGCATCAGTCCCACCACAACATCCTTATTCGTCGATGCCGCAGGGGTACATGCCCAGCCCTCCACTTCATATGCCAAGCACACCAGTTTATATGCCATCTCCGCAGGGTTACATTCCGAGCCCGCAGGGTTACATTCCTAGCCCGCCAGGTTACATGCCTAGCCCGTAGGGTTTTATACCATATGGAGGTGCATATACGACTATGTTTAATGATCCAACATATGGTTCATATGCATCTTATTTGGCTGGTGGTGCTTCTTCGCAGACACCTCAATCTCCATTTGGATCACAGACATCGATGCCAATGTTTCCACAGTTTTCACAGTTCTCGGGGAGCGGTGGGATTGTTACTAGCACTCCTCCAGGGTCGTTATTTTATACAGGCCCTTCAGCCCCTTCAGCGTCATCTACACCAAATGAAGAAAATGCTGCTGATGATGATAGTGAAGTTGAGGAGACTGATGAACAAGTTCCACGAAGAAATCCTCCACGAAATAGACAACCACTGCCATGTGGAACTCATTCGAGAAGACGACATCGGTGATCCAGTTGTATTTTAATGTTATTTAAATAGTTATATTTCAGAATTTTATGTAATTTGGTTATGTTATTTAAATGTGTCATGGTTGTTACATACATATTTTTAATGTTATTTTTTATTCACATTTAACATTAAATGTTTGATAAATGTTTTTAAAATACAAATTATATTATTCGAAATTTAAAATAAAAATAAAAATAATATTATTCAAAATTTATAATTAAAATATAAATTATAGTATTCGAAATTTAACATTAAATTTCAACTTAATATTCCAATTGTATTCGAAATTAAAAGTTATATTCCAATTATAGTTCACAATACTTAAATTGAAATTAAATTTGTCCATACATATGATTTTATCATTAACATATATATTAAATCGTATACATTAAAATCAACTTATCACTTCACATTTATTCGTAAAAACATCTCGATGCTCATTCCATACAATTTCAATGTCACAATCAACTTATCACTTCACATTTATTCAATTTATCCATAAAATTTTATCTAATTTATTCGAACTTCACATAACAATTTAATTTAAGTTATTCTTAACTTGCTGAACTTTCAAAAGCAGTTAAATTTTGGTTATAATTTACCTGATTTCACAATCCATCTAGTGTCCTCGAGGGACATGAGTGACATAATAGGGAAATGATAACATATTCTCTGACAAAATAATAGAAGGCGCACCCCCGGGAAAGCGCCTTCAAGTCCCCTGAGAAATAATAGGTACTGATATGAATAGTGTCCCTGAGGGACATGAGTGATATAATAGGGCAATGATAACATATTCTCTGACAAAATAATGGAAGGCGCGCCCCCGGGAACGCGTCTTCAAGTCCCCTGAGAAATAATAGGTACTGATATATCTAGTGTCCCCGAGGGACATGAGTGACATAATAGGGCAATGATAACATATTCTATGACAAAATAATGGAAGGCGTGCCCCCGGGAACGCGCCTTCAAGTCCCCTGAGAAATAATAGGTACTGATATGAATAGTGTCCCCGAGGGACATGAGTGACATAATAGGGCAATGATAACATATTCTCTGACAAAATAATGGAAGGCACGCCCCCGGGAACGCGCCTTCAAGTCCCTTGATAAATAATAGGTACTGATATGAATAGTGTCCCCGAGGGACATGAGTGACATAATAGGGTAATGATAACATATTCTCTGACAAAATAATGGAATGCGTGCCCCCGGGAACACGCCTTCAAGTCCCCTGAGAAATAATAGGTACTGATATGAATAGTGTCCCCGAGGGACATGAGTGACATAATAGGGCAATGATAACATATTCTCTGACAAAATAATGGAAGGCGCACCCCCGGGAACGCGACTTCATGTGAATAGTACTCCGATTATAGACACTATTATATGCAACATATTATAAACTTTCAAAACAAACTTCAGTTCACAAGCTCTCAAATTCTCAAATTCTCAAACTCTAAATTCTCAAATTCTCTGAAAATGAGTCGTCTTTCTGCTGTTGTTTTGTATGATGGAGAAATTAAGGAAGCTGAAGAGGGGGTTGTTTTTGAGTCAGATCATTATATCCCCTTAACCTTGAAGAGAAACATCACAATTGAGGAGTTAATCACAAAAATTTCGTTAAAGATTCGTGTAGCAGGCCAGAGAAGATTATTTTCACTTCAGTACAGATTTCATACTGAACTATTTCCGCTCACGTATACATCATTTCAGCTTTCAAATGATGATGATGTTTCTATGATGGTTGATGCTCATATGGAGAGTTCACAATCTCTTATTGAAATGTATGCCATTTTTATTGAGGTTCGTGCAACTCGTGGTCTCTCATATTCCTCTCACTTTGGCATTACATATCAAGCTGATCAAGTTGATAGCCCGACACAATTGATCTGTAATGATTTCACATCATTAATGGCGGATCCAACGCCAGATACCATGCCATCAAGTTCAATAGGAAGGCATTCATCTGCAACTGCTTATGATCTCAACCCACGTGGCTTCACCAATAATCCATATGGCAACATCTCTTCTACTTCAAGGGGCAGACATTCATCTACCAATGTTTTCGACTTACATATGGAAATGCCAATGAGACGGCAGTCTATTCACATCCCACATGATACAATGGCCTCAAGTTCAAGGGGAGGACACGCAAGCGAGAACTTATTTGACCTCAACATTGGATTATCAGGTGCAGATGGTGTTGAAACGGGATTATTCGTTGAACCTGACTCACCACAGTTTAACGTACATTCTGATGATGACGAGGATGACGTTCCGATAAATACAACACCAGCCGAACTTCCTGCACATATGTATGA